GGGACTTGCGAGACTGGGCCGGTGCTAAAGACAGCATCCCTTCCCATGGGGCGGCATCCACACACCACCCCCTGGTGGCAGCCTTTGTTCATCATGTCTGCGAGCAGACACCCACCCAGCACCCAAAGCAGCACTAATGTCTGCACCTCTTCCATTCCAAGGGTTTCTTTCTTCTTCTCAAGAGCCCAGCACCCCAGGTGAAGCCTCGCTCTCGCACCGCAAACCCCCACCAGGCTTGGGTCCTTCCAGCCTGCGTTAGATCCCATTCCTTAGAGTCTCTGCTCTGTTCCTGGTCTCCCTGGTCCTGGGGCTGCCTCACTCACCCATTCCTATGCCCACTGCAAGGGGAAGAGAGAATTCGAGGTGATCACTGGACGCTGGGCTGAGCTCCTCCAGCATCACGTCTCCTTTAATTTCACAGCGACCTCACAAGGGGCTCGACGCCAGCCCTCTACAGAGGCACCTACGTGGGGAGCTGGGATTCTGTGCAGGCCTGCTCAGCTCACGCTCGGGGTGGTCTCCACCTCGGGAGGGCCTCCCAGGGTGAGCCTCGGCCCTCAGCCTGCTCACAGCCTGGGTGGTGCCGGATCATGCTCCTGTTCTGGCCTCCGCAACCTTTCTGGTCTGGCCTCAGCTCCCCTTTCCAGCCTCTACCTCTCCAGCCCCTTGGGCCCCACATCCAGTTACCCTTAGGTCTTCACCATTCCCAGAAAGCCTCGAGCTTTCTCTTTCAAGCCCCAGAGAGGCCCGACTGACCTCCCCAGGTAGAATAAAGTCCTTCAGCTGTCCTGTGGCTGCATGCAGCCTGCCTCACTGTCTGGTATTTATTAAGCCTCTGTGACTGCTGCTGGTCTGGGGGCACCTCGAGGACATGGACGTATGTGGTATTCATCTTTCTACCCCAGACACAACAAGGTCAACACCCAGGGAAGGGCGCTGAAGGATTGCCTGAAGAGTGATCCCTCTCTTCTCACAAAGCAGCACGAGTAAACAGAAAACATCAGGGCCTTTAGGCCGAGCAGAGCAGAGGTTACAGGACCGCAAACCCCACAGGGAGGGAAGAGTTTGGGGAGTGATTCTAGCCACTAATAAAGCCGTCTCTGGTTTCTCAGTTGGATCAGGTCCTTTATGAGGATTGCTCTACGAGATCCCTGAGGGAGGGAGGGGTCGGGACAGGATTCAGACGATCACAGGTTTCTACCTATAACACGACGGCAGCATCATCCACCTTGTCCTTGAGCCCCTAGGTTGTTGCAGTGAGACCTTGCCCTGTCTTTTGGTTGGTAGATGGACAGGTAAGCAGCCCTGGGCTTGCTGTGGCTCCTCCCATCTCCCCTTGTTCCTCTTTGCTTTCATCGATCATGTTAAACTCCCCCACAGCTGGACTGCTGGTGCCTGCCACTAATGGTCAGGGGCAGGAAGGAGCAGCGGAGCGCAGGGCATGGGTCTTGGATTCAGACAGACCTGGGTTTGAATTCCAGCACTGCCACCTCCTGGCTGTGTGATCCTGGGCAAGCTGCTTAAACTCTGAGCCTCTGTTTCTTTGTTCATGAAATGAAGGTAACATCAATAATTAACTACCTTGAGCCGAATTGTGTCCCCTCCAAAAATGTTGCATGACATTTTTGTTGCAAGGATGGCGCATGTTGAAGCCCTAACCCCGATGTGATGGTATTTGGAGGTGAGGCCTTTGTGAGGTTACTGGGGTTAGCGGAGGTCATGGGGGTGGCCTCATGGTGGGATGAGTGTCTTTTACTCCCTTGCACTTTTCCTCCCTCTGCTGTGTACAGACAGTGAGAAAGAGGCCGTCTGCAAGCCGGAAGGACGGTCCTCACCAGACAACGAATCCACTGGCACTTTGATTTTGGATTTCCAGGTTGGAGAAGTATGGGAAAATAAATGTCTATTTCTGAAGACCCCAGCCTGTGCTATTTTGTTACAGCCAAAGACACTGACGTCTCAGTATTTCTGAGAATGGAATGCGCCTGGCACGCAGTACATTTTGGCAGAGTTGATGAGCTGGTGATCACAGTCTCTGCTCCTCTTCAAAGACAGACGGCACATGCAGGGAAGTAGCTGCCCAACTGGGGATGACACTTCCCAGCCCCTGGATCTGGGCAGATGGCTCAGTCCTGGACTCAAGGCCTTCTCGGGGTGCTTGCTCTGGGCTCCTGTAAAGTATGCATGACGAGCCATGGTCTCGAGGCTCAAAGGACATCAGGCTAAAAAGTGCCTCGTGATGTCTCAAGACTGAACACCTTGCTGTTCATGCTGGCCACAGAGGTAGAGCTCTGATAGCCCGAACAAGAAGTCCCGTGGCCTAACACTGGCTGGCACAGAAAGGATCTGTTTTAAAAATGACTGAAAATGTGTCTGATGCCTGGGAAACCAGAAGCCCACCCAGGGCCAAACTCTGGCTCCACTTGCTATGTGACTGTGGGCAAGTCAGTGAACAGTGTGCCTCAGTTTCCTCATCTGTAAAATGGGGATAATAATGATCCATACCTCACAGGGCTGTCATGAGGGTGCACTGAGCTGATTAATGCGTCAAAACTGCATGAAGGAGGGCCTGCACCTCATGCGGGCTTTTTCCATCTGTGCTGTTACTGATGCTGTCATAATATATGTTATTCATCTTAAGAAACATAAAGGCCACCCTGGCTGTGTAGGTCTTCAGAAATCCCCTCCTCTCCTGAAATGGAGGGAGGGCATGTTAAACCCTCTTTGTCTGGCTTACCACGGTCTTTCCCATTAAATACCTCTAAGCTCTGGCCCCTCCTGTCCTTCTCACTGACATCAAAGTTGCTTTTCTAAAAAACAGTGAGCATATTAAATAAGTAAACAAATAAGAGGGCACGTGTTCTCAGGACCTCCTGAGGCTGTGTCATAGTTAAAGAAAAACAAATTTTAATTTAAAAAACTGTGAGTTGTAAACCCCCACCCCCATGAAACTGCCATGGTTCCCCAGTGCCCAAGACTAAAATCCTGATCCTCAGCCTAAGATCTTAGGCCCTCTTCTTTTGACTTCATCCTGCTTTTCCACCTGTTCTTTCATCCCAGCTCCCCATTCCCCCTAGGTACTGGCACATCACACGCTATTAACTTCCTACTATGCCACCATGTGGGCACAGTCGGGCCTTTGTGTGTGTGCTTCAGCTCCCTACCTCCCTGTGACACCTGTGGAAATCCTACACATCCCTCATGGCTCAGCTCAAATACCACCTCCTCCAGGTTGTCTTCCCTGATCCCCAGAGTTGGACACATCATAAACTTTCAACAATGCTTGCTAAATGAATAAGTGAGTAATGGAATTGCTCCTTCCTCATGTTCCCACAGTCAGTGCTTGAACCCATAACATTCTATCCCAGGTGCAAGTTTCACATATCTCTGCTCCACAAGCCATGAGCGCAAAGGATCTGCCCCCTCTCACCTGGATGTTTTGATGAACTTTCAAGATGAAGCAAGAGTCCAAATTCCTAGCCCTCTTTCAAGGACAAATATGGACAAGTCAGATCCCCATCTTGAGATGACACCACAATGACAAAATCAAAGATCACCGACTGTTGCCAGTGCTTGCTGAAGCCATCTAGGCCCCCTGGTTTTCAAACTATTTTTAGCAACAGAACTGAACAATGTCAAATAATTAACAAACTTTTTCAACATAGAACTGATCTGCGCAAATAGTGCTTAGATCCCTGAGGCACCTCTGCAAAATTCCAGGGCTCCTGGGAACCTTTGAGGCTCACGGGCCCAGGCTTCCCCTGTGTTTTATACACAAGGATGCCCGACTCCCAAGCAAGGAAAAGCCTGGAAGGCACTCGGGGCTGTCCTCAGCCTGCTTCCTGTCTGCCCCCAAAACAGCCTGTGCTCCAAGAACCTGGAGCTCCCTACATTTCCCCAGATGTGTCCTACAACCCGGCCCCCATCCATCACTCCACCTTCCAAACTTGCTCAGGCATCACTTCCTGCAGGAAAGCTTCCCTTAACCCTCCATCCTGCCCTTACCCGTGGGTGGTGGTGGGTCAAAACCAAAGCCAGCACCCACAGGATAGCACCTAAACCTTACAGCCTAGGTAGGCGGGACCCAACCTTTAACTGCAAACCAGAGGCACAATGTGAAGAGGGCCTGGGAGAATTGCACCTGGATCTGATTTCAGAGTAAACCACAAGCCAAAGACGGGTCTTATCCAGCAGATACCTGAGTGGCCTCTGGTTGTAATTTAAAGTCAACAACAACAGGCCGGGTGCGGTGACTCAAGCCTATAATCCCAGCACTTTGGGAGGCCAAGGTGGGCAGATCGCTTGAGGCCAGGAGTTCCAGACCACACTGGCCAACATGGCGAAACACCATCTCCACAAATACAAAAATTAGCCGGGTGTAGTGGCGCACGCCTGTAGCCCCAGTTACTCGGGAGGCTGAGGCCGGAGAATCACTTGAACCCGAGAGGCGGAGGTTGCAGTGAGCCGAGATCGCAACGCTGGACTCCAGCCTGGTGATAGGGTGAGACTCCATCTCAAAGATTAGATAGATAGATAGATAGATAGATAGATAGATAGATAGATAGATAGATAGATAGATAGATAGATAGATAGATAGATAGATAGATAGATAGATAGATGATAATAATAGATAATAGAATAGATAATAGAAATAGATAGATAATAATAGATAGAAGATAGATAGATAGATAGATAGGATAGATAGATAGATAGATAGATAGATAGATAGATAGATAGATAGGATAGATAGATAGATAGATAGATACCAACAACAACAAAACAAATCAAGAAAATGTCCAAGTTTCCATGCATAAGGCCCCTCCTGCTCCTTTCCCCGGCATTAGGGGCCAGAGGACAGCTCCCCACCCCACCCCGGGACTTCCGAAGCCCCCTCTCATCGAGTCTCACAACGTTCTCTCAGGACACCCACCCTCCAGCCGCAAGAACTGTCATTCCCCGCCCCCTGTCCCCGTGTCATCATTGTCTGTTTTTGTGCCTACCCGCCGCCCCCCCCCCCCCCCCCCCCCCCCCCCGAGCGGGGCCTGGTGTCTGTCCCTGCGGCGTCCGGCACGAGACGGGGCGCTGGAGCCCAGGGCCCTTGCGCACCCGAAGGTTTCCGCGGGGCCGCAGTGCCCTCTGCCGGGCCTTGGCGCGCACTCACCGGGGCGGGGGCGTTCACCACCGACAGGCTGTAGCCGTAGAGGAAGGAGGAGCCGAAGGCGCCCGCGAGGGAGGCCACGAGGAGCGAGCAGGACCAGTCCTAGGCGGAGAAGAAATCACGTCAGAGCCGGCACCGGGCGCGCAGCCAGGTCCGAGGGAAGACCTGGAACGTTCCCTCAGCTGGGGGAGGCCTTCCGGGGGAGAAGTCGTTGTCCTTGGCTGGGATGGAGGCAGAGAGAAGAGACGCAAATTGAGGGCCTGCAGACAGGGTTCCGGTCCACGTCCGCGTGCGCAGGCCGGGCGCCCTCAGGTTTAGCGGCCACGCCCCTGCCTTCCTTCCGGGTTGCGTGAGGATCCCTGAAACGCAGTTTTCAGCAGGTGCTCTGAGCAGCTCCACATGATCCTTTTCGCGAATTTGGCGAGTGTCCGACCCGGACAGAAAAATGCAAAGCCAGACTCCAAGCGCTATCAGCCAGGCGTGATTCTAAGCACTTTCTGAGCATTGTCTCTGAGTCCTTAGATCAGTGCTGTTATATCCTGTATTACAGGTGAGGAAAGAGGGGCACGGAGCGTGGCTGGTGCTATCTGTGATGGGGACTGAAGTCTAGGTGGCCTGGCTTCAGTGCCCCTGTAGTCACCACTGCACAGTCCCCTGCTGACTCGTCACCTGAGTGCAGTGTCCAGGGGCCTGAGGTTGCTGACCACCACACAAATGTGCACACACACACACATGCACATACTGTTCTAGGCTGAGGTGTCAAACTACAGGGGCTGGTCCAAGCCTTGGGACAAGGGCATGCAGACATAGAGATGCAAGGTTTGGCACAGAGAACAGGGTGTCTGCCTTGGTGTTGTCCTGTCCTGCAGCCCCATCTAAAGACAGCCACCACCAGGACAGGGCCACAGGGCAGAAACACCTGGATCCCTGGCAAAGGCTGACAAACTGGCACAAGCCAGGGCAGGAGGGACGGCCATCCTCAGCTGGTGGGGGAATATGGGCCAAGTGGACAGGGACCAGGTGCTCCAGAATGCACTTTCTTTGCCATCATTTGACATATTTGTGAGTGTGTGTGTTTTGTAGGCGCCAGGCCCTGACAGCGCTGTGGGGATGCAGCAGTGAAGAAGACAGATGGGTCCATGGTTCAGGGACCCGAATCAGTCAAATCCCATCTGGACTGGAATGTGGGTCTCTAATGGCCACTTCCCTGCTCTGCCCATCTCGTTTGTCTCCTCTAGTGCTACCAGCCACAAGATAGAGCTTTGGGGCTTTGAGCCAAGTGATATCAGCTTTACCTCCAGGGACGGCCCCATCAGCTGTAGGAGCCTGATCAAGTGACTTGACTTTTCTGGGGCTCAGCTTACCCACCCGTGAAATGGGATCTCAATAGCAGCCCTGGCCACATATGTTGTTGAGGAGCTGCTGCAGAGGAGGTGCTCTGTAGAGGCTGCTGATCACATGCGGGGGCAAGAGGGAGCATTTATAAGCCTTGGGGATGGGTGCTGCCAAGTGAAATGTAGGACCAGAATATTTTTCTACAGTGAGAGGAGCTTGAGCTGAATGGGGATCCCCAATGGAACAGAATCACATTTCAGATGAAACGCCTGTTGTCTATCATTCTTTCTCTTTAAACCTATCCTCTGAGTCTTAGCACAGATACCACTTCTTCTGAGCCCCTGGACTGTGCCATCGTTTCTGTGCCCTGTGCCTTCTTTGCTCCCAGCCCCAATGTCCTTAGAGGACACAGACTCCTCCCTTATCTGCACCCCATCAGATTGGGAGCACCTGGTGTGAAGTGCCCCTGCCAGAGGCTGGTGAAGGGCCCGTGGGGGCCATCTCCTCCTGCCTCAGCTGTGCTCCCCGGAGCCCTCTGCCTGTGTGGCCCGCCTGTGCCCTCCACCCGCTCCCCACTCACTGCAGGGGCAGAGGGCGCCCGCTGACCGACGGCGCTGCTGCCCGTGCCGTGCCCCAGGGAGGGTAAGAAGAGGGACACCACCATACAAGCACGGGGCAGGGCAGTCTGCCACTATAGCCTCGTTCCATGTACACACCCAGCCTACCAAAGACACTGTTGCCCCAGTCAGCTGGGGCTTGGAGAGAGTATGCCAAAGTCACACAGATGGAGAAGTGCAACTCAAACTGGGGCCTCCCTGCCTCAAAGCCCCAGATCCCCCAGCCACACGCTGCCAGGCTGGGGCTGAGCACTGTCACATGGCTGCCACCCAGGCCTGCCCTACCCGCAGCCCTCCAGCCATGCAGAAAAGGTGTCTGTATTTACCTTTCTTCTCCCCCCACCTGGCACCCCGCTCCTCAGGTGGTCACACTCCAGCAGTGCCCTCCCTGGCCCTGGAGGCCCGGCATGGCTGGTGTCATCTGTGAGGGAAACTAGGCCCAGTTCCTTGGAATTCATATTTTGTTTCCTTGCCACAGGTCTCGGTGACCCAGCTGATGGCTCAGTCCAGGGACCCCGGACTCTGCCAAGGCATCTCTGTGAATGAGGAGGCAGAGTCCACTTGAAGGAGGGCAGGAATTCCCGACAGGAAGTGTGGCAATTTGATCATGCCTGAACAGGAAACGGGGCAACATTTTTTCCCTGCTCCTAGGTTATTACAACAACGAAACAGTCCAAAAAGGGAAACCTGTCCTCTCCAGGATTACCACCCAGGGGGTGGAATTTTTTTTTTCTTAGCATCTTTTTATTTTTCTCTCTTAACAAAGCCTGGAGCAGGGTGACTGCCATTAATCTAGGATACCTCCCTAATGCTTGAAACAGAATGGAGAGGTGGCTGAATTTGACACAGAAGCCTGGATACAGCTCTGCCCCTGACTCCTCCTTTTTATTTATTTTTTTTTTTGACCGAGTCTCTGTCTGTTACCAAGGCTGGAGTGCATTGATGCAATCTCTGCTCACTGCAACCTCCGCCACCTGGGTTCAAGCAATTCTCCTGCCTCAGCCTCCCGAGTAGCTTGGACTACAGGCCGTGCGCCACCACGCCTGGCTGATTTTTGTGTTTTTAGTGGAGACTGTGTTTCACCATGTTGGCCAGGTTGGTCTTGAACTCTTTACCTCAGGTGATCTGCTCGCCTCAGCCTCCCAAAGTGCTGGAATTACAGGCGTGAGCCACCACGTCTGGCTGACTCCTCCACTTTTTAACTGTGTGTCCTCAGGCAAGTCACTTTATTCTCTGAGCTGCCACTTCTACCACTGCAAAATGGAATATTGACCCCACTCTGACTGTCCTACAGACTTATTCTGAAGCTCAAATAGAAAACAGCCAGCCCTGAGTGGCGTGCTGGAAATGAGCGTGGGCTATCCTGGAGCCTAGGACAAAGGCGAGGGCTGTGGGTTTGGAAGAAAAAGAATTCGCCTCTTAGTCATTACTCCGTCCTGCTCATTCAGCACTGGCTGACGGGACATGTCCTGTGTGCCAGCCCCAGGCTGGCTCAAGGACAGTGTTGAGAAGGCGAGGACCTCATGCACGCCAGGAGGTTGTGGGAATCAATTCATCACATGGCCATGTTGCCTCAGATGCCAGAGAAGCACCTTCAATTTTGGCTAGGACAGTTCGTTACCAGAGGCAGAGAGCAGTGCAGAGGCTGGGCCAGAGCCAGGGACAGGCTTGGTGAATGCACAATGTCCAGGAGGCAAGGTGGGGCTCAGTCCACAAAAGAGAGACCAAAAAGTTAGCAAAGTACGTTTAGTAAGAAGCACACACTAACATAAAAGGTGTGGAGTACAGCAGACATGCCAGGAACCTGGAATGCGAAACGCACACGGAAACATCCAGCCCCGACGTGCACGGTGGTGGGAATGTGGCTGCTCACAGCAAGTGGGGAACCAAGACTTGCAAAAAGGAAGACGACCCCTCGGGAGTTAGGCTGGGGATGTATTGAGCACACCAGTCATTCAGTGCAATCGTCCTTCTGCATATTAATCTGTCAGGCACGCCCCTGGGAGAAGCGGCTATTTCTTGAACTGGATTTCAGCCGTGCAGCCTGGTTTCCTCATTGAGTGGTGGGCCTAGAGCAGCATTCTGATGTGCACATCCTTAATTACAACATGGCCTAAAAAGGCAGGATTCCCCAGGACAGCATGGAGGAGGCACCACACCAATCTCAGCTGGATCTCGGAGACCCCCTGGAGGAGGCGTTTTCTGAGCAGATGGAGAAGGATATGGGGTGAGAGGGCAAGGAGCCAAGGCCTGCAGGCACAGATGCCTGCAGTGTGTGGGAGGAAGTGAAATTGTCAGTGGAGCATGGTTGGGGCCTGAAGTGCAGGAGATGGGCAGAGGAGGGGCAGGGACAGCCGCATCCCTGTGCATGGAGGGTCCCTCTGCCCCTATGCTGTCCTGATGGGGACTGCATTTTCATCACCTCCTCTGCCCTCCTCATCCCGTTGCTGTGACTCCCCTCTGTATACCCTCCCTGTTTCCTCATCTGTAACAGTGGGGACCTCACCAGATTTTGCTAAAGTGCAAATTGGATCAGGTGACCCCTCATCCCATTAAAAATTGCTTTGTAGTTCTTTGTTGGGATTGCAAATTCAAAAGGCACCAGGAATTAGGCAGTTGACATGAATGTGTAACTACGGCTGGACAGAAAGTAAGAGAGGGGGGATGGGTCCCTCCCGGACCCAGATGGCAGCTAACCAGGGCTCCTGGTAGCCAGAGCACTTGCCTCACCTTCAGCTCATATTACACATGCACAGGACTTTCCCAAGTGTGTTCACATTCATGATACCATCCAGTCCTCAGAGGAACTATTAGACCTACATTTTGGTGCAACAACTGAAGTTCAGGGGGAGCATGCAGGAGCCCGCCTCCAAAGCCAGGACCGGTTCCCCATTCCACAGGGCCAGCAGCCCCGCACTCCAGGCAACTGCTAAGGAAGCAACTCCTATCACAGATGAAGTCATAAGACAAACATCCCCAGATGTTCTGGGCTGGGGCACGTTCCGCCTGCTCTGACACTCATCGGTTCCTTCATTCGCTCATAACTTGCTTGTCTTTATGAAGTTCCTACTCATTCAGGTTCTCCTGACCTTGCTCAGGCCCTCCCTTCTGACTGCCCTGAACTGTGCTCACCCTTCAGCACTGAACTCCCTCGCCACCTCCTCCCAGCAGCCTCCCCAAATCTTGCTGCCTCTGTGCTCCATGTGCGCTGCTCACACGTGCCTTCCCCTCTGCACAGGAGCTCACCGCGGGCAGGGATAGTGTGCGTCTCAATGGGCTGATTGTGTCCCCCCAGATTCACATGTTGAAGTCCTCACCTCCAGCACCTTACAATGTGACTGTATTTGGAGATAGGGTTTTTGAAGAGGTAATTAAGGTTAAATGAGGTCATATGTATGGGGCTGTATTCCAGTATGCCTGGTGTCCTTATAGGTAGAGGAAATGAGGACACAGACACACACAGAGGGATGACCACGTGAGGATGCAGGCAGAAGGCAGCCACTCATGCCAAGAAGGGAGGCTTCAGAAGGAAGTAACCTGCTGACACTTTGAGCTTGGACTTCTGGCTTCCAAGACTGTGAGACAATACATTTCTGTTATTTAAGCTGCCCAGCCTGTGGGACTTTGTCATGGCAGCCTCAGCAAACCCACAGTGTCCTAAGCCTCTTTGTATTCCTAGCCTTCCTCCAGCCTGGCTCAGGGACAGGGTCCAGTAGATAGGCATCACTTCTGGAATTGACCTTAAACTGTCCTCTGGATGATTTCCTAAGGCTAAAAAGTTATCTTAGACAAGGTGGAAATTTCCTAGCAGGGAAGAGTTGGAAAAGAAGGGGGGTTTTCTATTGAGTATCATTTAAGCAGAATGTTTGAAATAACTACATCCCTTCCTTCGTTACACTAAATACTTAGACAGTAGATTCTTGACTCACCTAATGTAAGCACCAAGAAAAGATAGAGAGAATTGCTGTCTATTTGGCATTATTCTTGTGTGGGGTCTTGGGTAACCTCAAACAGGTGACTGCACCCTTATCCTCCATTTTACACCTCTATGGGGACAATGATGTTCAGTTTGTCAGTTTCACACTTCGTTGACAACTTGGTAAATGGACTTGTGTTGATCTCTGTCCTACCGAATACAGGTTTATTATAAATACAAATACATTTTCCCTGGAGTCACAGTAGCTTCCACACTCATCACAGGAGACAAGGCACAGATAGTCCAAGGTTTAAGAAGGATTCAAACCTGTACTAGCCACATAGCCTTGGACAGTGGCTTCATCCCTTTCTGAGCCTCAGTTCATTGCCTGTAAAATAGGGCTAGTGATGCCCTCACCATGGTTTGATCCAGACAGAACCGTGTAAAGAGTCTGTCTTTAAATGGGAGCCCCATGTAAAGGTCCAGCACAGAGTAGGCGCTCTCTGGCTATTGGTTCTTGAATCAGGTTTAAAGAGAGGGTCTGATGAGTCCCAAGAAGAAAGAAAGTCATTCTATTAATAGCTGCTGAGGACTTCCTGGAGGAAGGGGCAGGTGGACTAAGCCTTGTGATGGATTAGGGGGTGGATTTTAGTGTATCTTTAAGGATGATGACATAATCATTGTCAACATCAATGTCCCCTTGTTGAGAAATGACCTTTGTAATGGAGACTTTTGCCCCAAGCCCAGAAAGTCACCAGCAGATCAGGACTGTCAATTTCACTCTTCTGAGCCTCACCCCATACGCTCTACAATCCTGATGCCTCCTTCCCATAGAACTTGGCTTTCAGCCGCTGCTCACTCTTTTCTCTGCCCAGCTTCACCTTAACAGCCTCCCCTTGACCCAGGGGGAAGGGGGAACTACCCCCTGGGTGACCAGAATAGTCATATAAGGGAGACAGAAAAAAAAAAAAAGCACTGACCAATTTCTTTTTCGCTGAATCACTTTCTTCGTCTTCTCCTTGGTCCTTTTTACTGAGTTTCATGGTTCACTTTTCAGGTATTGAACTTTTGTTGTTGTTATTTCTGAGAAAGAGAAAAAGAAAGAAGCCATTAGACAGCTGCTTTCTCAGATGTGCAAGTCAGAGGAGGTGGCCCAGAGCAGCCTTCGAAAGGTTTGCTGTGAGGAGCTCTGGCTGGGATGCCAGGATGGGACTTAGCAGCATCCTCACTTGGGCACCTCCCTGCTCTCCTCTGTCCTCAGTTTCTCTATTTTTGAGTGCAGGGCTTCCCACACTTGCCTTGTTGCTTATTAAATACAGGCTGTTCTCTGGAATATTTTCATTCAGATGGTAATTCGTATGATGAGGCACATTTTGAAAACACTAGGCTAGCTGTCTCCAAGATGTAAAAATAAAATCAGTGCAAATTAAAACAAAGTGCCAGTCTCACCTGTCAAATTGGAAACAGTTACCAAAATCATACCCTGAATCCCTGGCATGACAGAAGTAGAAAATTCTATAGCTTTTCTGGAGTTTGGAAATATGTTTCTAGAACCATAAAAATATTTCTGCCCTTTTGCCCAACTACTACACTTATAAAAATGCATTCTAAAACAGGAATAAAAATGTGCACAAGGAGCTAAGGTCAAGATGTTCATTGCAGCATTTTCCATGTTGGAAAAATGGTATTTATAATAGGATAAAAAAATATCTAGCAGAAAAATATGGATAAATTGCAATACATCTATATGATGAAGTCTTACGGAGTCCTTAAAAATTATGTTAAGGAGTCCTTTAAAAAAATAGGACTGGCACGGTGGCTCACGCCTGTAATCCCAGCACTTTGGGAGGCTGAGGCGGGCAGATCACGAGGTCAGGAGTTCAAGGCCAGCCTGGCCAAGATGGTGAAACCCTGTTTCTACTAAAGATACAAAAAATTAGCTGGACGTGGTGGCGTGTGCCTGTATTCCCAGCTACTCAGGAGGCTGAGGCAGGAGAACCACTTGAACCCAGGAGGTAGAGGTTTCAGTGAGCCGAGACTGCACAATTGCATTCTAGCCTGGGTGACAGCGTGAGACTCTGTCTCAAAAATAAATATATGTATATATATGAGAATATTTGATGCCGGGGAAAATGCTCATAATAAATTCTTACTTGACAAGAAAAAGGAAGATATATAAACAAACATTATTCAACATTAGTTGTGGGGTGGGGGGAGGGGGGAGGGATAGCATTAGGAGATATACCTAATGTAAATGACAAGTTAATGGGTTCTGCACACCAACATGACACATGTATACATATGTAACAAACCTACACGCTGTGCACATGTACCCTAGAACTTAAGTATAATAAAAAAGAAAAAAAAAAGATGCCCTTTTAATAGATTCACAAAATATATGTACTTAAACTATGTTCACGTGTCTTTTCGCTTAAACCTAAAACATCATATTTATACGTTAAATTATTTATTCAACAAATATTAAGTGCCTCGTATTCTAGGCTATGGGGATACAATTCTGAGGAAGGCAGACCTTGCCCTGCCCTCGTTAGGAGAAGAGGTAGTTTCAGAAGAGCAAACAGACTATGCATGGACGAGTGGAAAGGGAGAGGCCTGGCCCAGCACAGGATGGGAGAGCAGCAGACACCGGCCGCAGAGATGAACAGAGGACAGATGCATATTTATGGACATGGAAAATAGATGGGCAGAAAACCGACCAAACCATTAATAGTAGTTACCACTTGGCCAGGATATTCTAGTCAATTTTTATCTTATTATTTGTTTTCCTATAGTTTTCTAATATTTTGCAGTGAAAAAAATACTTCTATAACTAAAGAAGTTTTTCAAATTGCTTTAAATTAAGAAGAAAAATTGATGTAAGATTTAAGCCCTTAAAGTCTCAGGTAGCCAGGTAGAGTTAAAATAATGCTTGAATGTCCTGCTTCCTAGGACAGAAAATACAATTCTGGAAGAATATCCATTTCTTACAGTATGATGGGCTCTAAGCTACTGATTTAGGCTCAGCTGGTCTGACAAAAATGATAGTTGCTGAACCACTGGGTCCAAACTTTACTGTGATATTCGAGGCCGTGCACTGAGGGGCCAGCCCCTCCCCTCACATCCCAGCATGCATGTGAGGGGAGCACCAGCCTCTGGATCTCCACGTTCCTGTAGCCTTGTGCTTCTCAGGCCTGTCTTCCATTGCATAGGCTGCACCATTGGCCTGGGACGTCTTAGCTCCTCTCTCTGTCTCACCTTCAAGGCTCACCTCCTCTGTCCATTTGTCCCTTCTGGAAATCTGAATCACTCCTCCTGTGCATCCCACAGCGTATCCATTAGCCTGGCAGGAAGCAGAAGGTATGGACTGACTGTTCTCTCATCTGTGTCCTTGCCACTGATAGGAAGTGACCTTCCTATCCATTAGCCCGGCAGGAACCAGAAGGTGTATGGGCTGACTGTTCTCTCATCTGTGTTCTTGCCACTGACTGTGACCTACATGTAATGGCTCATTTTATGTGTTGAGTTGGTTAGGCTGTGGTGCCCAATTGTTTGATCAAACATCTGGAGAATTGTCCAGATATTGCTGTGAAGGTATTTTTTTTCAATATGATTAATGTTTGCAATCAGCTGACGTTAAGTAAAGCGGATGACTCTCCATAATGTGGGTGAGCCTCACCCAATCATTTAAAGACCTTAAGAGAAAAAGCTCAGGTCCCCTGCAGAGGAAGGATTTGGCCTCAAGACTGCAACACAGAAATTCTGCCTGTGTTTCCCACCTTCAGAACAAGACTGCAGGGAACGTCAGCCTTGCCGGAAGTTCTAGCCTGCTGGCCTGCCTTATGGATTTTGGGCTTACCAGCCCCCACAACTGCATGAGCCAATTTCTTGAAATAAATTTAACCAGATAGACAGACAGATAGGAAGTGTGTGTGTGATGTGTGTGCATGCATGTGTATTTATTTATTCATGTTATTGGTTCTGTTTCTCTGGAGAACCCTGACTGATACACTTCTATACTCCTCACGCTCAGGGGCCATAACCGATTCATCTCTGTGTCACAGTCTGACAGAGTTCCTGGCCAGAGGTAGGCAGGGCAAGCAGAATAGATAGAGTGGAAGAGAGGGGAAGAGGTGAGACAGAATGGAGTCAGGTGGGATGGGAGGGGACAAAGAAAGCCAAAATGACGGTAGTCACGGCCACCACCCTGCCCGCCTTGAGGGACTCACTCTCATTCTATTTCATGTGAATGACCGTCTCTGCAAAACTCCAGGAACCGCCATCCTCACAGATGACATGGTAAATGTCCCCTTAGAAGTATGCAACATGGTGGCCCTACAGGGGCCTAAGGATGAAAATTGTCTCCAGATTATTAAGCAAGAGTCACGATTTGAAAAGATGTGAGTGGAATAGAAAGAGCAAGGCCATTAGAATCAAGACCTGAGTCCCTATCCTGGCTTTGCCACTGTGATCCAGGGCAAGTGACTTAACCTATAAGTTTATTTCCTTATCAGTCAATTGAAGATAGATATCATTCTCTCATATTATAATTGTTAAATGAGGGATACAGTAGCTAACAGGTCCTGGGAGATGCCTGGCAAATCCTTGTTATATCCTTTATGGCAACTATCATTCACTGAGCTAGAGAAGACTCGGAAAGTAACAGATTTGTGGGTGGGGGAAAATGAACAGTTCTGGTTAGGAAATGTTGACCTAGAAATGTTTGTGGGACATCAAATCATACACATCGCTGGGGCAGCTGGAAATAAGAGTGGTGCTCAGGAAGTGGTCTGGTCTGGAGATAAATCAACTGGTATTTAATGCCATGGGGTTAGGTGAGGTCACCCAGGGAAAGAGGGCAGAAGGGGAAACTTTCTAAGGAACTCTAACCTGGAGAGAAGCTAGAGATAGTCAATTTCAAAGGAGACTGAGTCAGAGAAACAGGGAGAGCAAGGTGTTAGGAGTGGCAAGACAAGAACTGTAAGGAGATGTGAGTGAATATTAATCAGGGGTCACATAAGAGGCATGATCAGCATCCATGGCACGTGGCCACATGGAGGTCCTTGGTGACTGTTACAAGGGTGCTTTGAGTAGAGTGGTTGGGGTGAGGCTGGAGAGCCTGCAAGAGGAGTCTGTGTACCGAAAGTTGTCAGAGAAAGTTAATGTGAATAGGAGCAGAAGAGGTGATGAGGATGTGAGTCCATGTATGGGTAAAAGTACAGCAAAGATTGCAGATGTGGAAGTGTGGTACATGGGGGACTTCTGTCCAGCGGCATCTGTATTGAGTCCAGTGGTACCCACATGAAGGATGGGAAAAGCCATCAACTGCGGGGGAAAGAAGGAGGGTGATGGTGACAGGAGTGAGAAGCCGGAAAACAGCCACTAGGGAGTGTGGAGAGCTGTCTTAACAAGCCTGGTCAGGTTGTGGGAAGGTGTTGAGGGCCTATTCATGGCTCAGTAGTGGAGAAGACAGTGTGGGGGAAGATGGTGGGCGTCCAGAGCTAACACTTTAGATCAAGCTTGTCCAACCCTTGGCCTGAGGGCCACATGCGGCCCAGGATGACTTTGAATGCAGCCCAACACAAATTCGTAAACTTTCTTAAAACATTATGAGATTTTTTGGGGGGGGTGGTTTTTGCCTTTTAGCTCATCGGCTATCATTAGTATATTTTATGTGTGGCCCAAGAAAATTCTTCTGCTTCCAATGTGGCCCAGGGAAGCCGAAAGATTGGACACCCCTGCTTTAGATTTGAGAACAACTGAGGGAAGCTGTGATGCCAGCTGTGGTCCGAGCATGGCTTTTGTTGGGGTATGCCTTGTCCATTCAAACTGAAGTCAGAGCAGATGAGCAACCACAAATGTGGAGGAAGAAGCCAGTACAGAAACGGGGGGAAGGAGAAGAGAAGGCAATGAGGGGCCATTTGCAAAGGATATTCCTGTAGGATGGGACTAGGGCAAGGGAACATGGCCACAGGGTGGGTGAAGAGTGCTCGGCAGACCCCAGGTGATGAAGCCTCTGTGTTGAGAGAGAGGAGGCTGAGGACAAAGAGACAATCGTGCATTCTTCCCAGAAATCATGTTGCAGGTAGAGAACATTGTCAGCTCCAGGAGGATGTGCGTGGTGGGTTGTCCTTTCTGGGTCACTATCAACTCCCATCTTCTCCTACTACCTGTCAGCAAGGAAAAGGCAGAAGGTTGTTAAATCAATAAGAACCCACTGCCACTGGAGCTGTATCCAGCAGAGGCTCAACACTGTGTGCCTCACTCTTCAGAGATCACTACAGAGCTGAAGATGCTTTCGTCGTCCCTGGGACGTCACAGTGGGAAACTGCCTGCCTGTGCAGTGCAAGGCCATGTACAGACAGTTTGTACCCCAGGCATGGACTCTGGAGCCATGGGTTCAAATCCCAGCTCTACAGCTTACTAGCTGTGTGATGGGGAAAATTACTTCACCTCTCTGTACCTCCATTTTTTAAGGTTTCAAATGGAGGAAATAACAGGACCTACCTCTGCTGGCTGTTGTGAGGATTAAATGAGTCCATGTATGTGAAACACATAGCAAATGCTAAATGCACTCAGGCGAGCCTCATCATCCCCAGAGGCAACACAAGTAATAGCCTCTGTGGAACACAGAGAAGGTGCTCCTTGTTCATAAGCGCCTCATGGAAGGGATGATGTCTTAAAACCGGTTTTAAGAAAAAAGGGACCGGGCACCATGGCTCACACCTGTAATCCCAGCACTTTGGGAGGCCAAGGCAGGTGGATCACCTGAGTCAGGAGTTCATGACCAGCCTGGCCAATATTGCAAAACCCCATCTCTACCAAAAATACAAAAATTAGCCAGACGTGGTGGCACACACCTGTAATCCCAGCTACTTGGGAGGCTGAGACAGGAGACTCGCTTGAACCCGGGAGGTGGGGGTTGCAGTGAGCTGAGATCGCATCGTTGTACTCCAGTCTGGGCAACAAAGCAAGACTCTGTCTCAAAAAAAGAGAGAGAGAAAAAGGAGAGGGGCCCATTTGGTCTTTGACTAGAGAACCCTAAAATTCCTCAAAATAATTTTCTAAAGCTTAAATAAAATAATAAATACAATCCATAAGATAAAGCACAACCTCTGTGTATGGTGAGAGCTCCGAACATACTAGGTCCCTGTCTTTCCCATCTTCAGTAACAATACTAAAATGACTGCTATTCAAAACTAATGCTCTGCTGGGGCCCACAGGCGCAGTCATACTGGTTCTTAAAAGATCAAAATGCTGCTGTGCCCATTGGTGAATAGCCACCTCCCCAGGTCTCCTGAATGCCCATCTGCAACCTAGGCAGCCCACGCCCCTTTCTGCAGGGCTTACCCACAACCTAGCAGCTGCAAAGTTAATATCCAGCGCAGCAGAGGATGAGGACTCTGCTCCAGGCAATCTGACTGGCCCCTACCTAGGCTGCATCTGGAATTAAAGATTTAGAAAATGACTTTTGCTGCTGCTAATAAGACCTTGTGTCTGATGCTATGCCAGGCCTATGTTAGAAAGAAAGCAACCAAAGCTCGAAAAAGTAACTTCATTCACCCAACCTGTCACAGAGGTTGGATCTGAGCCCAGAGAGCGTGAAGGCAGACCCTCATTCAGAAGCTGGAGTTGGGTAGAAGGAACAAGGTGAAGAGAAGACACTGATGAGCGTCAGTGTACCCAAATGTCGGCAAACTGCGAACGTGGACTTGTTCTCACAATTCCAGTTCGTGCAAGCTGGAGATCATGCTTCCTTGAAATGCCTGTGGCCGCTGCCTCAGACACTGTCCACTCTAAGATGTGGCCCTGCAGGGCAAAACCATGTGCATCCTACAAGTCGCTGGCCAACAGCTCTGGACAGAGAACCCCACAACACATGCAGGGCCCCTAGTTCTCTGATTCACACTTGGCTGTGACATTTTTCTTAATTTTCAGGGTTGTCTGCTGATTTTGGCATGAAACTAAAGTGGATCCCAAAACAGGAAATTGAAAATGAATATAAAAAATAGAGCAGCTTTAAGGTGGGGAGAGAGAGAGAGGAAGTAAGGTGCAGGAGAGGAGAAAGAGGAGGAGGAACGGAGGGAGAAAAGAAGGAAAGAAGGGAAGGAAGAGAAGAAAAAAGAGAAGGAAGAAGAGAGAGAGGAAGAAAGAGGAGGGGAGGACAGGGAGGAGGAGGAAGAAGGGAGAGAAGAAAGACAGGGAGAGGTAAAGGGAGAAAGGAAGGAATAACGGGAGTGGAGTGAGAAAGGAGAAAGAGACAGTCATTACCAGATTATCAGACACTGGAATAATTACCATAGCCATAATCACTCATAATCAACTGCGTTTTCTGGATTAGCACTTGTCAGATGCCACACTAAGTACCTTATGTGTGTATTCCCCCTTAATCTTCACCAGAATCCTGTAAAGTTGATTTCAAATCCCTCAGTTTTCAAATCTCTCATTCCTGCTGTTCTGTAATAATCTCGGTAATTCTTGAAATCCTCTTTGAAGCAGACCCAGGTCTGTGAGCGTGACTTACCTGTCTCCTGGGGTTTCCCTTGCCTGTTCTAGTCTAAAGAGCAAATGGAATACGTTTCATATATAGATGGGCTCTCAAGGTAATCAGATGTAAATCTGGGACATTGTCAAGGAAAACAGCATTAATGATTAAACTCCATCCAGCTGTTACTGTAAAGATTTTCTAATGCCCATATTGATAAGTGATTAATGGTTAACTATTGATGGCTAGTTCAGCTTATTACAAATATACTCAGATGTGTGTCAGCATATTCTGGACTGGGAGTCTGAAGGCAGAAGAGTGTCAGCAAAACCACTGCTGACTAATGGATTCACCTCAGCTTCACCTCCCTGGGGGTCAGATCTGTTCTTTTTTAACATGAGGATGTGCCCAGCTCAGGGCCCACCTGCCTGGTCTGAGGGGAGGATCAAATAAGTGACATGGAAGAGCAGTAAAGCAGGAGCCAAGCAGTAGGTGGATGGAGTCCTGCATCCAAAGGAGCAAGGCAAGAGGCTGGCTCTTGCTGCTCGGTCCATGCGGCAGGAAAGTCAGCTATAGGGAAAGAGCTGAGCACCATCAGTCGCAAAATGCTATGCTCATGGTCACTGTCATTGTTAAATTCTATCAGTGCCTCGTTGCCCTCTTTCCCTAGCTCAAAGGGCTGCACACATACGAGCTCTTCACACTCTGCAGCAGCCTGAGAGAAAGGGAAGGCTGAGTGTCAGGGAGATGGGACAGAAACAGGTGAAGGATCTGGGAGTGTTGCTGGGCAACCCAGGGAAAGATCCAAATCCAGCCACGTACTGAAAAACCTCCTTTGGACCTGTGCAGTGAAAGAGGTGAGGGCATGGGAAGTGAAGGGCAGGTGGTTCTCTGGGAAGAGCACAGAAAGATGGGCACCATGGGAAAGGGAGGTTGTGCCAGCTCAGGCACAAGCTCAGGCCCTGGGTGACAGCACTCTCTCAGGAACCTGGAAAAGCTCACTCCAATTCCTTGGCACTGATTCAGAGCAGTCGCGAAAACTAGTCATGGCTAGTTCTGTTTCCCTGGTGCCCTGATGTTGACAAAGTGGTGGCCTGGAGCAGAAAGATCACCCAATCCCTGGGAGACATCTATGTGAAATGTCTCTATCAACCAGCCTTCAACATCTGACACCACCAGAGCCTGGAAAGATGACACTTCTGTGCCCAGGGTGATCTCAACTGTGCTTAAGGAGATGCAAACAGGGAGGTAGAGGCTGCCTGTGGGTGAAGGAATTGCTTTCCCAGGAAGTTCAATTCTTCCCTAAGTATCCAGCTAGTGCCCACACCCTTTCTTCACATGGTCAACCAGCCTTTTTCTTGACACCTTTTTTAGGTGCAGTAAGTTATTTTTAAAACAATTGTGTAATCCTCTTATTTTATTCCCTTTAAGAAACCTTTGTCTTCCTTTACCTTCCCCAATATGCACATAGTGTACTATGGCATGTGGATTCTCATTGCAAGGAAATAACCCCAAATAAACATATACTTTTAACAGAGCCTCTGTTATTTAGGTTGACGATAGTATACTATAATGACTAACTGGAATTGATGTGAGACATCTGGGCCCAAATCCCAGCCCGCCCCTCCCCAGCTGTGCCACAGCAGGCAAGTCACTCCCCTGCAAAGTGGGGACAAGGGGTATTCACCTCGAGGTCATGTTGTTCCGATCAAAGGAGGCGCTGTCCTTTGATTGCCTGCCACAGAGCAAGTGCTCAGTAATATTTGCTGCTGCTGCGATTGCTGGGAAATCTCTTTATTTATCATTATTTTTATTTTTGTTTATTGATTTATTTTCAAATGTTTATGGAGCACTATGTGCCCAACATTGTCCAGATATTAACAAGGCCACAAAGAAGGGCAAAGCTATCATTTCTATCTGGTAATTCACAAGCTAGCCTAAAGGACGAGTTGATGGAAGGGACCTATATTTAGGAAGCACCCACTAAATGCCAGACACATGCTATGCACAGCCTCATTGAATCCTAGAGCAGCCCGCCGAGGCTTTGTTATCTCTATTCAAAGGCCAAGGATACTGAGGTTCAAGAGGTTATACCACTTGCCCAAAAGCACCACGTCTGTGGGTGAGAGTTGAGGTTTGAAGAGAGTCTTCCGCTCTTGCCCTTCTCCTCCCCATCCCCGATTTATGCTGCTCTGTGGGAGTCCCCCTCACTAGGAGGGGGCGAGCTCACTGGAGTGAGCCCCAGGGCCTTGGTGTCAGAGATCTTTCTCTTTTTCCTTTGGGCAGTCCAGCGTCCAAGCAGATGCCCCATTCTGGAGCATCCCCCGTTTTGAGGGTCTTGTGTCCCCGTCACCTTCCAAAACATTGCCCCCAGCAATGATCCCATTACTCCTTCTGCATGATCAATTTCTTTCTCTGTATTGGATCTCCCCAGGCTATGTACGAAAAAGTCCTAGTGTCACCCATGTTAAAAAAAAAACAAAAACAAAAAAAAAAAACTAAGAGTTGTTGCAAGGATGTGGAGACATTGGAACCCTTGTATAGGATTCTCTTTGCTAGAGGAAATGTGAAATGGTTTAGCCACTGTGGAAAATAGTTTCTTCATTCCTCTAAACATAAAATCACCACATGACCCAGCAATTCCACCACTGTGTCAATGCCCAAGAGAACTGAAAGCAGCTGCTCAAAGAAAAACTTGTGCACGAATGTCCACAGCAATGATATTCACAACAGCGGAGAGTTGGAAACAGCCCATATGTCCACCAATGAATGAATGAATAAGCAAAATGTGGTCTATCCATATAGAGGAAAATTACTCAGCAATAAACAGAAGTGAAGCGCTGATACAGGCTACAACATGAATGCACCTTGAAAACATTCTGCCAGGTGAAAGAACCCAGACACAGGCTGGGCACGATGGCTCGCGCCTGTAATCCCAGCACTTTGGGAGGCTGAGGTGGGTGGATCGCCTGAGGTTGGGAGTTCAAGACCAGCCTGGCCAACATGGTGAAACCCTGTCTTTATTAAAAATACAAAAATTAGCTGGGCATGCTAGCAGGCACTTGTAATCCCAGATACTTGGGAGGCTGATGCAGGAGAATTGCTTGAACCTGGGAGGCAGAGGTTGCAGTGGGCTGAGATCTCGCCACTGCACTCCAGCCTCATCAACAGAGTGAAACTCCGTCTCAAAAAAAAAAAAAAAAAAGAACCCAGATGCAAAAAGCCACATCTTTTATGATTTCATTTATATGAAATGTCCAGAATTGGCAAATCCGTGGAGACAGAAGGCAGATCAGGGGTGGTCCGGGACTAGGGGAAGGGGCAGTGGCTGCAGCAGCCTCACAGATAAGCAGGAGTTGCCCTTGGGAGTGATGAAAATGTTCTGAAACTGGATGGAAATGGTGGTTGTGAATGTAGT